TTTAATGATTGAAACAAAACCGCGCTAATCTTCTCTTCAATTCGTTAACATCAAAGCTTGCCACTCCTATTTGTCGGTGAGTTCAATCGTTCATCTGATAACTACTCGCTAGGACGGTTGCGTCAGTACCGCAATGATCACGGTTACCTTCTCAGTTGATCCGCGAAGTAAAAATTTAAATCCCCAGGGGGAAAGTATTCACAAGCACAACTTTATTGACGTGGAGCGCGTTTTGAATTTGGTTTTAAAAAACCAAATTAAAGTAATCACGAGAGCCAATCAGAGAAAAGAAAATTTCTCGACGAACCAATGAGAACTAAAAACAAAACAAAACAACTCAGAAGCGTTGGAAAGCCCGAGTGACCGAGTCGCGATTTGTTTTAGTTTGCATCTGACTGGTTTAGAAGAGGACGCAAGCTGTATGGAGCAATCACAGGGCTTAGCAATGGAAACCCCAAGCAATCCCTAAACACACTCAATTCAAAATTTTTCAAACACCCTCTGCCACAATTGATGAATTTACAGTTTGCTTTGCCTTTTTCTGTAGAAGACGACAAGAACAAGGCTGAGGAAGACGAGGGAGAGTATGAGGAGGACGACAATGACTACGATCGTGAACTGAACGACGATAGGTCTTTTCCAAAATATTCTAGAGAAGAAGATGCCGAGGAGTCGCTTTATCGTGAAGAGGAGCCGTTGAGGAGTGATGACGAAGAGGAATCTTACAGTGCACCAGTAGAAAATGACGATAGTGAAGCGGAGTATTTCGAGGAGGATCCCAATGACGTCGAGGCGGAAGAAACCGAAGATGCTGAGGATGAGGCCCTTCCGTCTGACGATGAACCCGAAGAAGTATCGAACGACTTTGCAGACGATGCTTTGGAAACAGCCGAAGAGGAAGCTGAGGCCGCACAAGATGATGAGGCCCATAGTGCACCAGCAGAGGAGGATACAGCTCAGCAGGATGAAGCAAAGGAGGATTCTGTAAAAGACGAAGCAGAGATGCCCACCGATGAGGACGAAGCAGAGATGCTCACCGATGAGGACGAAGCAAAGGAGGAAGATGAGCCTGAAAAGGAGGAGGATGCTGAAGACACATCAGAGGAGGAGGATGAGGCCGCGGAAGTTAGCCAGAACGAAGATGAATCAGACAAGGATAAATATGATGATGACACCTTTGCAGATGATGAGATAGAGGAAGTACCTCAAGAGGAAGATGAGGCCAAGGAAGAAGAGGAGGCAGCGAAGGAAGAAGATGAGGCAGAAGAGACAGGTCATAACGACGATGCAGGTGAGAAGGCAGAGGATGAAGCCAAAGAAGAAGAGGAGGCCGAAGACGTGCCTCTGGAAGAAGATGCAGCTGAGGAAGTACCTCAAGAAATGGATGAAAGTCAAGAGGAAGACTACACCGAGAAAGAGGCAAATGAACCATCTGACGATGAAGATGAAGCCAAAGAGGCCGCTGATCACCGTGTAAGTGCGTCTCGCTTCAGAGATCTGCCTTCTGTGGAGAAAATGGTCATGGACACCAAGAAGTTGGGTAAGTTATTCGGTTTACACATCTCATTTCCAGAAAAAGTTTTCTGCATTGAGAGATGAAGCCACTAAATTATAACACTAAGAGATTTAGGACAAGTTTAGGTACTGTAGCATAATTTGAAAACTTGATAGCAAGCTGCACGATATTGATCAAAGTTAAGATCAAAGATGAACTGCTGTTCTGCTAGACAACAAATGGATGACGATTGCGGGTATTTGGATATTTTCAATCGTGTAACTGACCTGACATTGGTTGCATGGCATTAATATGTTTTTGATATCTTAGAAAATAAAGTTCATTGTTTAACAAAGCAGAGAATGAGTGACTAATAATTATCAAATAGATATCATGTTGCGGTGCGTCTGTTCAGTAATAGATCACAGATAATGTCAAAAAAAAAACAAAAACAAAAAATCATCGCAGCCGAGTATGGCTCTGATGTTCTGGCCACATTTTGTCGTAAACTGTCATTCATTACTGTACAGACCCATGGCAACATGAAATCTACTTGTGTTTAAAGGTTAAAAGCAAAGGGTTGTTAATGGTGACGTCCTCTATGCGTTTCCCTCCAAGAACCAATCGAGATGCCTGTATAATTCAGCCTTTCATATCATTCCGCGAAACTTTTCTCCAAACCAGAATGAAGAAAGGCAGGAAATCAGAACTAACCGTCAGCAAACCAGAATTAAAAATTAAATGACACCAAAGATACACCAAAATGAAAATGTCAACTGGCAAACTAAGTAGGGGGAGGGAAGGGTTGGTTAAGTGTATTATTATCCAAGAGGCTTACCATAGGTTCTGATAGCAACCCCACATCTTTTTTTTTCAACCTTAAGAATGAATGAAATCTGAAATTAAATTCATGCTGTTGTTTGATGATTTTGTTTCGATTATTCTACACAGAAAGGGAACTGGCGTATTTTAAGAAGAATGGATTTCTGGACGAAGAGGATGCTTATGAGCTTGACCAGTAAACCTGATGAGTTTAAAGCATATCTTTCTTAATTTTTTTTTAATCACAATCATTTTACAAAAAGATAGCAAACCTTTTTTTCAAGTTAAACTTGCGTGTGCAGTATGTTGTATAATCGGTATTACACTCAAAATAAGCTTGTAAAAAAATTTTATTTTTATTAATTAGAAAGCCTTTGTTTCCATTTTCCATTGTTTCTAAGCATTTTTTGAAATTTCCTTTTGAACGCCAAGTGTATTGTCAAAATTTTGTTTCTAATCCGATGCACAATAAAGTATTCAATCATTTGTTACTTGCTTTTCGTGTTACATGCTTTTCATTTAGCTACCTCCTTTTTGTGTTGCATGTTTCGCTTCCAAAATTAACGCGTGATACAAGGGGGGACCTGGGAATTTTGAATCGCCGTTTAGGGAGGGAGGGGGTCCTGATCTAAAGAACACGGAATATTTTTAAAAAATACACCAAGAGAGGTCGCAGTCATAGAACCTAGTAATTTAGAACCGGTACAATCTCTGATCGCTTTAAATACTTAAATCAAAAACCATTTCAACAATCTTCCTAATATTCTTTCCCGTGTGCAGATTGAAAGCCTTAGTCTCGTACTTTTTGTAGTGCAAAGTCTGGGTACTATCATGGTCTTCTTAAGGAAGACGAAGCCTGGACCAAGCGAAGGGTCAGACGGACCATCAAAAAGTTTCTAGAGACCCTCTTCTTCTCCAGGTAGTGTGAAGAAATATTACCCTGGAAATGCAATTACGCTTTTACAACAGCCCCGCCACCTTAAATTTTTTTATGTCATTGATATCTATAACAAGAAGCTGTGATATCCTTTGAAAATGGAAGCGTTGATAGGATCAGGTCCTTTAACGCCACAACTGAAAAACTGTTGGTGCAAGAATTTAAAAAAGAGCCCATCACACTACGAATTTACATAACGTTCTAATAGGCCATTTTACAGTTGTGTACTTAGTTGCCAAGCCTTTGATTAGGAGTGAGGCTGATGGTAACTGTGTTGTGATAGAGACCTGTATCTAGTCAGCGTGATAACAAAGTAATTTTTATTTTAAAAGCGGCAAGGTTTGTATTATAGTAAGGTCAACCTTGGCCTCACTCTTGTTTAAAGGCCTGGAAACCAAGCACAAAACTGTACAATGGACAATTTGCGTTGTGGTACGAACGGTGGAGACATCGAGACTACAGCCAAGCCGGGGGCCCTCTCGCACGCTGGCTTCGCTCGTTGGCTCGAATGTCACGGGCATCACCGCGGCTCATCCCGCAACGCAAAAGAGGGCCTGTCAATATCAATATCCAATTGATTAAGCTTCCCATAGGTATTGACTTGTAAGATGGATAATCAGACTTCTCTGTTTTCTTAAGAAAAAACTGTCAGTCTAGCTTAAAGAAAAGGCGGTTCCTGTTTTGCCTTGTTCGGGCGAGTGAAGCGAAAACATGGATTAACGCGTCCTCCTTTGGAACGTGACTTACCTTTTATGCCAGCCTTGTGTTTTCTCTCTACCCCTGAAAAACGGGAAGAAAACACTCTTATCAACGAAAGTGAAATAAGAAAATGAATGATGGTGGAATGGAAGAAAGGAAACAAATAAAGACATGGGAAACTGATGTCGCATGGTTGAAAATAGAATGAAGATTAGTCCACTTACAATTAAGGATTGAGGCCTACTTCTGTGCTGACCTAACTTACTATGTCAATGAGAAGCAGCTGCGTAAAAAAAAAAAAACAACAACAACAACAAAAAAACACGGAAAAAGTTGAAGGGGTCGTAGTTCTCCATCGGACTCACAGATTTCCATCGTAACCACACCCAAATTTTGGCATACGGACTGTAGAATCCAGTCCACCGCTCCGACAATTGTAGTTCGGTTTGTGCATGCGTATACCGTTTTGAAAAAAAAGGACGCCACGTGTTTGTAGTTGTCAGGAAGTCTAGTTATTAAAAGAGTGTATTATATAGAAGCGGTTGTTACACGGAGTTCGACCATTAAAGCTACAACCGCGCTCAAAACAAATTGTTGCAGCGGAAATTTAGCCCTAAATCTTTTGTTTATTGCACGTTTTTAAAATTTTTTACTCCAAATGATGCATTTCTAGTGTTCTGATTGGTTCATTCAACCCCGGCTATCAGCTCACATTCCGAGTCACCTCATATGAAAATGCAATGCACCAACTGTTGCAGCAAACTGTGGCAGAGCTGAAAAATGCTCCAAATACCCAAATATCCAGGATTTGATGGAATTGAGTAAAATAGTTATTCCATTCGCGCTTGCTGGACACAAAAATAATTGGTTGAAGCTCACTCGGTGCTAAAGGCCTTATTGGGTACGCCTTGTTACGGCAGTTGGTAATTACTCTGAATAAATCATTATGTTGAGATGATATTTAACACGTTGTAACATGTTTTGCGACGAAAGACGTGAAAGTTTTTAGAGATACGGCTGACCAGCATGTATTGGGTCGTCAGATCCGTTTGAAATCAGCAAAATGGCGGGGGTGTCTTCTGAGTTGTCTTCAAACATACCGTTTGACTTTCATGACGGAAGACTAGACGGAGATCTCTCTCAAAAAATGAGGATCCCTCAGACAATCACTGTACAAGGGGGTGACGAAGAGTACTTACTGAACGAACCGAAAAAGATTCTCAGCGATAGAGTGCCCATGTCGATCCCTGACAGAATTGAACTTGGTTCGTACTCGCCCAAAAGTGACATTCCGAGAGATTTAAAAGATGAAATGGTGGCAGTCAACTCTTTGAGTAGCATGATAACTCCTCCACGAACACTGACCGTTGAAGATACAAAATCAGCGCATTATCCTCAAACTAGAACCGCGCCTGTAAGTGGTTCGCCAACAGCAGCTCGTGGAAACATAAATCGCAGAACGAATGCCGCCAGAGACATTGACGATGAAAGGTGTGTTTGAATTAATTATATTAGATATTTTGGTTTTCGATCAAGATCCGACGTCTTTTTCTACCCTTTTTCCGCTTAGAGAATGGTCATACACGTTGCTTGTTTGAAAATCTTTCAAATTAGTTCTTCATGATATTTTGAAATCGAGATTCTTATATTTAATCCTTGATTAAAAGATGAATATTCTCTAGGTTTTACTAGTAAATAGCACTAGCCATCGACACAGTCGGTCGAAGAATTATGTTTTTTAGCCATAATAGTCATTTTTGTTTTAAATATCCATCACTTTTAAACCTTGTTTGGTGCGGGTGCTTTTATAGCATAATTTCAATTTTATCATTATTTAAAGTTACAATTAAGCAGCTGAAATGTTTGACAACAGTGCAGCGAAGATTTTTCGGACAGGGGGAAGGGAGGGAGGCTATTGGTGTTGTTTAAGTGGTATTTGTTGGGATACCATGCTATTTTACAATCACATATTATTGCTTTCTGTCTGCAAAGAGGAGAGGCATTCATTTGATTGCCCCTCTTCTCCTCTTCCCCCCTCCCCCCTTCTAAACCCCATTTTGCACTGGATAGAAAGTAAACCATATTGCCCTGCATGGTTTTTCATTCTGAACTGAATTTATTCTTTCTACAGCATTGCTGTTGGTCTTGAGGTGATAGGAGAAGGAACTACTTTAGAAAGTGACAGTGATATTGGCCATTATTTGGGAGGCGACTCACCTGACCCACGAAAATTAATCCTGCAGATGCAACGACTAAATAGCAGAGTTAATGAACTGGAGAGAAATGTTGAACACAACTCAGTTGGATTTTGGTCAAAAATGATTTTCTTTACTTTCACGATTATCAATCCCATTCTCTTACACTGGCTGTTCTGGAGAAGGAGGTGAAGAAATAAACCAAAGTACCACTTAGCTTTACTTCCGAGCTTTAGAGCATCATGTAAATTTTGTTATACATGATAGTGCCAGTAAAAAAATAAGGGTAGAGCTGATTAATGTAAATCATTTTTGATGACACTCTTTGTATCATCAAGCAAAAATAGTGCTGTGATTTTCAGAGTAGAAGGGTCAATCTCAATGAACTGGTTAATGCCCACATCTATGTTGACACTTTCATCTGATAGAGAGGCAGTACTGTTGAAAGGTCAATGCTTTTTTAAAAAGGAGTAGGAGACTGAATATATAAATGGTAATAATTGCACTTTGTTTTTGTTTAGAAGTTTCTTGACATGTTACCTAGTATACTGGTTATTGAATTCATGTAGAGGAAATTTGGATTTTTCCAACAATTAATTTATAGGCCTCTTACATTAAATCTCTTAAAATGTTAACTAAGTGCAACTTAGCAACAACTCTTCACACCCTAACATCAGTATGCATATTCTCCATACTGTTCTCTATACATTTCCTGAGGTGCTGACAAGGAGAATTTGTTTGACAACAAAGAGCTTCCATAAGTGGTGATCAATTCCTTTGTTCTCATGACCTTAATGTTTGATTTAGGGGTGATATTGTGAGGAGAAATTAGATGCTAGTCACTCTAGATCAAAAGGTTCAACCAATTTGCTTTAACTCTTGACTGTAAGTGAAAGTATTCATATAAAGAAACAGATTAAACATTTAACCAATTATTCTATGCCTTGGTTTTTTACACCACAAAATCATACTACAGCCAGTCCAGTGTTCTACGCCATAAACCAACGCTCCAGGTTCCAATTTTGGCCTAGATACAGTGAATAAAGAGCCACTTTGGGGATATGCCACTGATGAAATCCATTATTTTTACTATTACTGTCATGATAACATACCTCTTACTAGCCAAGTTTGGGGGAGCACACTGTGAGGTACAGACTGAGTTTTTTCTGCTGGTATTTAGCATTTTATGGCCTGGGCACAAAGTGCGTTGGCCATAAATAAGAGAGGAAAAAACAAGACAATACTTACAATCAAGAAATATTTTTGCGATTGAGGTGTCCATGGTTAATGATAATTGACCCGAGAGAGACTGCAATAAAGTTTGGAGTCTAGGAATGAGGTAGTAACATTAACAACACCACTTTATTTGATTCAGTTGTTGTTAGTGATGTGCCAATTGATCTAGTTGCCAGTGCCAAATACTAGGCCTCAACATCTCCAATGATAAGAAATGGAACTGTCACATTGACTCCATTATCAAGAAAGGCAAGATGTGCTTGTATAATAAACTCTCTGGTTTTTGTACTTGCGAGCTAGTTCAGTTTTTCTACTCTTGCATTTGTCCCTGTCACAGAGTATGCTTGTTCTGTCTTTTAGAACAGTCTCCCCATGTACCTCTCCAATGGACTGGAAGGAGTAGTAAAAATGCAGGCTATGTGTGTCATTTTTTTCTTTTTGCTGATATAATGGAGCATTGGTTGAATCAGGCTTACTTAAACTTTCAGAAAGCCATCAGGAACTAATTGATAAACTATTTAACTCTTTAAATCCTAAGATCTGATCGTTGTTTCCCCCTTCTAGCTGCTACACATTTCCTTTTAAATTTGTTACAAGAATTTGGTGTTAGATCAAGAGAACAACCTCTTCCTGACAAGTTTGAGTATTCTCAATACCTGTTTGCTGGATAATTGAATGGTTATTATGGGGAGAAGTTACATGTTTATCACTTCTGGAGGTTAAAGGGTTAAGAGTGCGTTGGCCACAAATAAGAGAGGAAAAAACAAGATGACGCTTACAATCAAGAAATATTTTGCAATGGAGGTGTTCATGGTTTAATGGTAATTGACAAGAGAGATTACAATAAAGTTTGGGGTCTGGGAATGAAGTAGCAACATTAACAACACCACTTTATTTGATCCAGTTGTGGTTAATACTGATTGATCTAGTTGCCAGTGCCAAAATACTAGGCCTCATATAGAGGGAACAGAAAAACGTCCGTAACCTCCTCCTTGCTTGTGACACAGTTACCTTGAACCTAAGAAGCATATGGAAGTTTAGGCCTGTCTTCAAGACAAACAGATCTGGTAACAGTTTTGTTACTTTTAGTGCACTAAAGGCCTGAATGATTTTACTAGACTTCCATATTTCTTCAACACATTTTATTGACAAACATAACATATTTTACAAATATTTTTAAACCAACTTGTTTAAAACTATGGGTAGTCCTATTAATGTAATCATCAATATCATCTTTTTGTAGAAACCGTAAAATTCAGTTGTTGGTTTCAAAGTAGTTATCAATAAACTATCCAGCAAAACTATATATCTAACAAGCACATTTGACTCAAGTGCCAGTCCTATAAGGGGTTCCTGTCACTGGACGATGCTCTCTCATTGATATATATCAGGGCATCTTTAAGAAAATTTCAAAAAGCCTTTTTAAGTCTTTCACTCACTCTCCTCACTCACCAGGAGTGACCAAAGAGGAATTCTCCTTACAATTTCACAACATTTTCAAGCAGAAAAGTTAAAAGGAGAAGGAAAAACATAAATTAGTGAAAATGGGTTGGATTCAACACCAAATTCTCAACACTGAAATACTAAGAATTGTATGATAGACAGTGAGGAGAACTGAATTTTAGATCTTAGCAGTGAGTCAGTTGAAGCCAAGTCTAATCTTGTTTTGTGGGCATGGCCCAAATCTGTTTTAATCTCTGAAAGGAAACAATTCTCAAACAGCTAATAGCAGCGAAAATTTTAAAATGAGAGGCAATTTGCTGAAGTTTCTCTAATTACAGTTTAAACCATTTTTCTGACAACCTCAGACCTCTATGAGGTACTGCTACAGCACCTGTTGTTGTCATTTTAGGTTAATGCAGCCTCAAAAGCAAGCAGAAATTCACAAATTTTATCCCTAAAATAGAAAGGGGAATTATATCACTCGTAAAGGGGGACTACACCTTTTTCTGGGTGGAGTTGGGGAGAAGAAGGGAGATTTGTATATTACTCCAGTGGGCTGACTAAATTTACACCAGGAAGCAGCAGCAGCAGCAAGCGTGGTAACAAAACTTTGCAGGAATGTTACCAGAATGTTTAGCTTTCAACACCATAGAGGCAACACCCTTCATTAGAGCTGAAGAAACTTTGTGACAAGTCCCTGCCCTGGAGATGTAATCAGTAGCTAATGAATGGAGTCGTTTCCCGTCAAAAGAGTAAAAATGGCCGGGAAAAACTGTATCTACTTGGTTTGATAGTTCTTGTAGTCTTCTGCACGTCTGAACATAGGCAGTAATGTCGCTGTAAGGGAGCCAGTCGATTAAATATCCATCGTACATGGTGTCACCACTAAACAATATCTTTGCTTGTTCATCCACTAACCCGATACTGCCACGAGAGTGACCGGGGAAATGAAGCACGCGCAATTTGCGGTCTCCAAGATCAAATTCATATCCTTCTTCTAAAACTTCGAATGGCTGAGCTGATTTCACATGGTAGTCTTGAATGTTCCATCCCTCGTGAGGGGGAACGGAAATCTCCGCCGTAGTTGTAAAAATCGAGACTGTTTCGTAGTTGTTGCCATGGCGAATGGCTTCGGCCTCCCGGCTGTGAATGGCGAAGTTTTCGAACTGATAGAGTCCTCCTGAGTGATCAAAATGAACGTGAGTAGCGACGGCTTCCACAGGTTTGTCGCCGATCAAACTTTGTTGTTTGAGAAAATCAGGGAGATTCCACAATCCAATCCCTGTGTCGATTACCAAATCTTTCTTGGTGCCTTTGACCAGCCAAATGTTAGCTTGATTTGGAGAATCAAAGAACCTCTCCCGAAACAAATAAACATTGTCGTATCCCTGCACCTTCTGGATGCTGAATGGTTCTTCGGCCATTCCAAAATCACTGTTTTGAACTAATCCATAACTTCAGAATCGCGATCTCAAGCGTGACTGCAGTGATATCGCGTGACTTTGAACCGAGCACGGGGATCTCTCTTATCACAATTTCAACCATATTTCAAGGCCTTTCGTTACCCTCTTTTCGGAGCTGACAACTTAAGAAATAAATGAGATTGGATAAGAGCCAACTTAATGTTCATGGCCTTTAGGAGGAAGCCCGCCACCATGCTACTGTGAAACGCGTTTGATAGCTTGAGCCCAGTCTCCATCATGCAGAGCCTTACGAACTAGCTACCAAGCTACTTCGTTTCCCTCTCCCTTCATTCACACCAGACAAATAATCGTGGTCAGCCAGTTTATTGAATCCTGCACGTAACAAGATATTTCCACGGAGAATCCTCCACTCAGATAAAGATTTCTTTTTACAATTCGAAAATTCTCTGTTTAGTTTAAAAAGGGTAGGGGATCATAATCGTATTCGAAGATAACCTTAAGCGTACAAAGATCTGCCAGTTTTCAGATACTCCTGACAGTGAACAGTTATGAACGATGCATGTCGAGGATGAAATTTAATTTAACATGTACTTCAGTTTGCTTCATAACGTATTAACATCACAAGAAGAATTAACTTTCTGATTACATTTAGGGCTTAGGAAATTTACAATATTTTTCTCCTTAAAACAAACCCAAGGATTTTCTTCTGCATCCTAAATATATTAATGGATTTCGAGCTAGGAAAATAACCACGTAATTCAAGACACACCGTTTTGATACCACACTTAAATATTCACTGCAATTTTCTTTCTCTCATAAATAATTTATAAAAATATATTAACACAACTCATCAAATATATTAAAACACATCTTGTGAATTAAATATCCAAGCACTCGTATACCAAAATTAAATATACAACTTTTTTTTTGTCCTTCAATTTAAAGACAAATAAATAATTTCACTCTGTTAAACTCCAAACGGCAACAACGTTTTCCTAAAGACACCTATACATTTCTGTCCTTACTGGATTGTCTGGTTAACGCAAAAAAGTCTTCTGTCTTCGAAACTATTTCCACATTAATAGTTGAAAGATTCTGATAATTCAGTTGGAAAAGAAATATATGAATACCGCTTCTTTCCTTGCAAAATTTCTGTACATGTTAGGAACATTTTCTTTCAAAATCTTTGAAGTTTTCCTTACAATTTTTATGTCAAACGAGGGAAAATGTTTCCCGCGGGGGTAAAAACCCAAAGTACAATTTATGAACGATTTTTTTTTATGAAACTTTGATCATGATCCTTTTAAAATGAGATATTTTCATATATACAAGAACCAATTAAAGTCGTGGTACGAAAATAGAAAACACTGTTGTAATATTACCTCATTCACTATACCAAAAACGATGTACCAGTTAACTAGCGCTCTGTCTGTATAAAATATTAATGTATGAAAGAAAAAAATTAAAATCACAGATAGAAAATAACCCTCAGTTTAAAAGTCAGTCTTAAAATCAGTTCCGATTAAAAAGGTCTGTAGTTAAAGAATTCGCAGCTCGCGGGTCAAATCAGTCAATTTCGATACATCCAATGTGGTATCGCAATTAAAATCTAAGGCATATCCCCTCTCGCTGAAGAGACTTAAATCCGTTCTCTCATTTGATAGGAGGTAAGAATTGTCCCCCTTCTACTACACTGATATCTTCAGTTCTATCTTCTTCAATATCATTCGCTTTATTAGCTGTTCCAGGTTTCTCCTTCACGACCTCTGTAGTGATTCGCTTCGTCAGCGGTGCCACTGCTCCTTTTGTCTCGGTCCCAGTCTCCGCCGGCT